ATCATTTCAAATCGCAAACCAAGTTAGATTATATAAGAGGCAAGATTTAATAATACCATTCTAAAGGTTATCAGCATTCGTTAAAAAGTTCAATGTCGCTGTATCTCTCCATTTGGGATCCGAAATCAAGCATTTAAATTTACAGTTATTAGTGAGACTCCGAACGAAGTAGCAGCACTGTATAGAGCACAAATTAAAGAAGATAATCATGCAGAATTACATTCAAATATGCTTGCTCTTGGCATATCTCTTCGGATTTGTAATTGGATGTAAGTAACTGCATTTTGAATAAAAGATAGAAATTTCTTCAAATTCAATAAGTTCAAATTTTAAAAGTAAAACAGTTTCAACGATATTCAGAAATGATCTCATTAAGCATAGCTGTCCACGAACGTTCGTTCGTTCGTTCGTAGAAAATGAATTGTTCGGATTGTTCGTTCGTATGTTCGTACGAACAACGAACAACGAACACGTTCGTTCGTTCGTAATTTTTGGGAATTTATTTTCACAATGTATACAAATATTGCCGATGGGAACTAGTATCGTATATTCCCCATACAAATTAATTTTATCGATTCTACGAATACGACATCTGTTAAAAAAGATACCGATTTTTGTTACTACTGTTGCTTTGACACAGCTCGAGCGAACTATACGGCTATGGCTGTATTACAGACGTCTAATACAAAAGAACACACAGACTCCAATCCTGTGTATGCGTATGTATTGTAAATTTTGCACAAGCAGCTACGATTGACGACTGAGTGCAGAATTTGTAATACATACACATACACAGAATCGGAGTCAGTGTGTTCCTTTGTACGTTTACACGAGCTGTATTAAAACACCACTAGTAACAGAAATCGGCGAGTTTTTTAGTAGATGTCGTATTGGTGGAATCGATAAAGAAAAATCTACGATATTAGCGCTCATTGAATATTGCGATAATAAATGTAAATTGGGAAAACTTTAAATCGATTTTTCCCGCTTTTTTAAAGTTTTTACAATTTACATTTATTATCGCAATATTTGTTTACATTCAGAAAATAAATTTCCATAAATTACGAACGAACGAACGTACATTACAACAAAATATACATTGAAAACGAACGAGCGGTTCGTTCGTTGGTGTTCGTGGACAGCTATGTCATTAAGTGACCTTAAAATATACACACCCATATATGACAAAAAGAAAAAATCACATCCATAGACCATCATAGTTTATTTTTTTGTATCAAAAACTGAATGAAAATGTCCGTAATCTTCTTTCTTCAGTAAATTTTGGAAATAACTGGTGTTTCAAATTAAAAAAAAAAATGAATAATTGCAAATACAATACGAATCGTTAAGGTAATCGTTCTTACATTTTTTTTTTTTTTTCAATTTTCAAAGTAACTTTATTTTTTTCATTATTACATAAAATATTTACATTATTAGGTAAAGATTAAACTAATAATTAACACTAATTTTCTTAGTTTTGCATTCCATTTCCAGAAATATTTCAAAAAAAAGATTTTTTGCTTTTTTTCACTATATTCTGACTTGAAACCTCTAATCTTATTCCAACAGAATTACCAAAAATAGTATTGCAACCGGAAATGCCATTGACTACACGTACCAGTGAACAAGTCTACATTCTTTGTAATGCAACCGGTGGTGGACCAATTTATGTTGAATAGCACAGTGAAGAACATCGACCACTTCCATCGTAAGAAGAGCGTTTTTAATGGGTATTTGTGTACAACAATTTGAATAATTATAATTTTATTTCTATAAATGTTCGAATTGTTGGGAACTACCTGGAGTTCTTCCAAATAACGCCAAATAATGCTGGTCGGTATTACTGCACAGCAACAAATCCACACTGAAATGTTACCAAAGCTGCCGAAGTGATTGTTAGCCATAATACAATTCCAGAGCGTGAGGCACAAGGACATGTGCAAGAGGTTTTGGAAGGTGAATCATTTTGTCTTCAATGTTCAGCACCATCTTCTCCAGCTTCTAGAGTAAGAATATTGATAAAACAAAAAAAGTCTGCAACTAATTTTGTAAACACATTTATTCATCGTCAAACTGACAGCTGTGTGTCGAGTCGCGCTAGTTTGTAGCTCTTCATTATTTACACTCTTTTTCGTTGTTTTACATATTTTTTAGTCGCGTTTTTTTATCACAACGTGCATAAGCAATTCGTCTATCGATATTTCATATTGTTTTAATGTATCACTGTGCAATAATTAAATTTTCGACGATAAAATGAAACTCACTTTGTGCCGAACCAAAAAAAAAAAAAAAACTCATTAACGCTGCGTCAAAACATCGAACGATACGTAGTGTGAAGTAGAGTGTCTGTGTTACTCAATACATACTCATTCAATTCCAGTCAATTTCACTTGTTTACTCTCAACTCGTGTGCGTGAATCATCTGTCAAAATGACTTGCACATCGTGTGAAATGGATTTTACTTCGTATGAAGCCACACTGGAATGTGTAGGTACGTGTGGTCACAAATACCATTATACATGCTTGACATCTACAAATAAGAGCTATAAAAAGTCATTGCTTGCGATCATCAATGACATTCAAAATCTATTATGGTTTTGCGATGATTGTTTTTCTCGCTGCATTTAAACCGCTCAATGATCCACAATTACAGCAATCACATCAAACTCAAATGACACAATCACAACAACAAAGCAATTCTCTTGCTGATTTAGTTTTTACCCCAGCGACAAATTCTGTTGTTTCTCCCCATATCGACGATTCCCTCCAAATGGAAACGGAAGAAAACAAAAGTGGTTCAACAGAATGCATACAATTGAGTACAAATGCCAAACGACGACGCATATCAGACGAAAATGGAATCATTGACACTCAAATTTCGTCTCAAAGTTCATTGTTATGTGATAAAGTGGCAAAAAAAATCCCATCCACAAATTATCGATGCATTTATTTATCACCATTCGATACTTCAACAACTGAATTGGACATTATTAATCATATTAACTCTTGTAACCGTGATCCAACCGAAGTAATGGAATGCAAAAAACTTATACCCGAAAAGTGCAATACAAAGAAATTATCGTTCGTTTCTTTCAAATTAACCGTGCACAAAGAGTTCTATGACGTTTACATGAATAAATCGTTTTGGCCACCAACTGTAAATGCTAGTGAGTTTATTGTGAGCCCACCGAAATATCATTCAAAATCTTAGCCAAATTCAAAATCGCAGACATTTCGTGTAAATCCCTTCGCAGTTCGGAAGCCACAACATAAAAAAATAAACTCTCAAGAGTCACACTCAAATAAAAGACCAAATCAAACAAACTCAAACCAAAATCGGGCAATTTTCAAATCGAATGCAAATCAAAATAGGCAGCATTTCGTCACAAAGCAAAAAAAATACACTTCAAACTCTAAGGTTAGTAGAAATGATCAAAATAAATATTCCAACGGCATTTCAAACTCAAATCAAAAAAACACCTGGGCCCAATCAAATGCACAGCCAATAAGGCAACGTTTTCGCCACACAGCACAACAAAACCAAAATCATTCACATCATCGGGGCAATCATTTTATGAGTCCAAAAGAGCTCGGGCTATTGAATCAAATGGTGAATCAATTGAGCAGTCTCCTCAATCGGTTTCAACTCAAATTCAAACCATCGACGACAAAATTCAAGCTCAATCTCAATCAACTTTGGTGAGCAATGATATCTACTATCAAAATGTTCGTGGCCTTCGCACTAAATCAAAACAATTCTTTGGAAACTCCACATTATTTTCGCATTCGATCGTCGTTTTAACGGAAACGTGGCTGAATAAATCACATTTTTCGTCAGAATTCTTTGACAATTCTTACCATGTCTATCGCAAAGATCGTTACGAGACTGGTTCACTGTTGAGTCGTGGTGGTGGTGTTCTCATCGCAGTTAGCTCTAAACTGACATCCATCAACATTGTACTCGATAATGCAAGTCAATTAGAATATGTTTGCGTTAAGGTCAACATCAATGCAAAATTCAATGTCTTCATTTATGTGGCTTATATTCCACCTCATTCACAGCCGGATATTTTTCAAAGCCACTCGTCCGCAATTAACCATATTCCATCAAATCCAAATGATACCATCATTATTATGGGTGATTTCAATCTTCCCCTGATCAATTGGATTACGGATGATGCTGAACATAATGTTCTCATCCCAACTTGCATCACTCCTCAGCATGCGGCCTTGTCTGCCATTGATGAACAATACCATCCACCAATTCTACTGACGTATGAATGGCACATAAACGACGTTAATGAAGAGCAAATTTCAACTCGAAACTTTTTTAAAGCTGACTACATTGCGATGAACAGGTACTTTGCTGAAATCGACCTCTCTCATCGCTTCTCAAATAAATCCCTTGACGAAAAGGTTGATATTTTACACCAAATACTCAACGATGCGATCAGCAAACACGTGCCCACTCAGACAAAAAAAGTTCAATCGAAATGTCCGTGGAAAAATAAGCAACTGCAATCATTCAAAAACAAAAAGAACAAGGAGTGGAAAAGATCGAAAATAACTGGTGATAACTCAAATTATCTGCATGCTCTCGACAGTTACACCAAATTAAACACGGAACTTTACAACAATTATGTCGACAAAATGACTTCTTCGTTAAAGTCAAATCCATCATCATTCTGGCGCTTTGTCAACACTAAGAAAAATAGTTACTGCGATCCGAAATTGCTGAATTTTGGAGACATATCATCGGTTGACAAAAAGGAGCAAGCAGAAATGTTTGCAACATTTTTCAAAAATAACTTCACGATTCAACCTTCACAATTTCAAAATACAGCTCTAATCCAAACTCAAACAAATTCAAATGTGGATCAATTCAAACTTAACGAATATTCCGTTTTCGATGAGCTGCTGAAATTAGACTCAAAGAAAGGTGCCGGTCCTGATGACTACCACAAAATGCTCAATTGGATCGTAGTCGCTTGATTTTGGTAGACATTCATAACGAAGATACTGGACGTTATATTTGCGAGAAAACCGAACCAAATGGCTACGTGACACAAAACTACTTGGATGTCGTACTAAAGTATGAGTACCCACGTCGGCGTTGTTCACCGGGCATTTGCGGAACTGGACGTTGTGAAAATACTGATATCGGAATTGAATGCACATTGAATAAAACGGGTGCTCAATGCCAAGATACTAAACACTTGGACAGAAATAATTTCTCATTCAAAGATGGCAGTTTTGTTTCACTTGAAACATCAAAATCCATCACATTAAACATTCGATTTAATGTGAGACCGGAAAATAATAAAGACAGTGTACTTTTTTATGTGGCCAAATCAGAAAATGCCAATGGAGACTTTGCGGCTCTTGTTATTAAGGATAAACCGGAGCCCGATCATGGTATAGGATTTCCTATATAAAACTTGTAACTAACAACACCTCTAATGCGTATTCCGAGTACTAATTGACGTTTGTGACAATATGGCCGTCACGATTTGGCAAAATCATAATGAATCGATTAAACTGCGTTAAACTGTTAAAATAAAACAGTAGAAATAAATAGATTTTAATTTTTTACATTTTTGAAAATAAAAAATCTTTTGTTTTTTTAATTTTGTGTGATTTTCTGTGCACAATATTCAAAAATATTAAATTAATAAAAATGAATTGGTTGAGATAACCTCACTTTTGTGTCACAATCGTGATAAACCGATCAAATAATTATTAAAACGAAAGTGAGGTTATGTCAACCACTTCATTTTTTATTAATTTAATATTTTTGAATATTGTGCAGTAAATCTCACGAAACTACCGGAAACTACAAAACAAAACAAAGCATTTTTATTTTTAAAAATGTAAAAAATTAAAATCTATTTATTTCTACTGTTTTATTCTAACTGTTTAACGCAGTTTAATCGATTCATTATGATTTTGCCAAACCGTGACGGCCATATTGTCACAAACGTCAATTAGTACTCGGAATACGCATTAGAGGTGTTGTTAGCTACGGGCATGATCAGGCTTCGGGATAAACACTATGAATTCAGATTTAATGTCGGTAAACGTAAGTTTGGATGTGAGATATTTTCTAAAAAAAACATTATTAAAAAACATCGACATTTTTCACCTTTTTAGGCGTTCTCCCAGTTATCATTCGTTCGGAAGAAGAAGTCGACATGAACAAGTGGACATCAATATTATTTAGACGCCAACATGGTGAAGGTTGGTGATTCACCACAAGTTACCGAAAATGCAATT